GAGGCGCTTGGAAACTTTCAGAACTTACGTTCGATACACATGGTCAACGGCCAGCTTTCGCAGGCCCACCGAGGTGTGAGAAAAGTGGCACATGCGCTACCCCGCGCTTTACCCGTACCTCCCGTGTTGCGTAGAGGAGAAGGTATCAACTTTTTCTATGCTCTACCAGGGGTGGAGGCTTTCCGGACTATACAGCAATATTGCAAACCCTCGCTGAGAAAACTCAAGTTAGACAGAGTACAACTTGAGGCTTTCACCTCATGGGAGCCGGGTGAACTGCATTGTTTAACAAGTCTGGACATCACGATATTTGGATTCTCTGGTGATTGGCGCTTCCAAAGTACTAAATGGACGTTGGAACTACTAATGGAAAACCTGGAGATGTTCATTGCGTGCCTACCAGAGCTCGAAAGTCTCAAAGTTGGCCTGGAAAACGGGCGAGTGGAGACCACCGCACCACTTGCGAGCATCCGCCACGTTTTCGCTGCTGAAACTACATGGCCCAAATTACGGAAATTATCGTTGTCTGGTCTTTCTGCCACGCCGGAGACATTGGTGTCACTTGTCAGCAGACACAGCTCCACGTTGAAGGATCTCAGGCTACGCGACGTTTCCTGGAAGACAGGCCCAAACGACGCATCAGAAGAAAAGCACAAGGTGCCATTGAGGTCTATTCAGCATTGCGCATGGCCGCGGGTACTGCAAGAGATAGCAGAGTGCTTGTCGCTGAAGCGTGCGACTGTATCGGGAACGCTTGGTGAAAACGGAGATGTGCTTGGATGGCGACTGGACAAGAGGGACGATGAGCTCGCCACTGACGTTGAGAATTATCTCGTCAGTGGAGGGCAGTGCCCGCTGACGGCTCACAACGCTCACTTTGCGATCGACAATTGCGAACTCCCCCCAATCTCAATTGCATCATAGTAGCGATTCATCAAGCACGGAAAAGCTTATCCTCATGAGCTTTGATAAAAGGCTTCTCCTGAAGATCAACACGCCATTGTTCGTCAGGGTCGCGCATAAAACATCGCGTATATTCTTAGGGTGTTTTGCAGTAAGAGGCACTACAAGACAACTAGCTTTGGCGATAATCTTCACGTGAGATACAGTCAGAACCTGCAAAGATGAGGATATGGGGTCGGTGTCTTGTGTGCCGTCAGTACTGTTACAATATCGCCTGTTTCAGCCACTTTCATTACATGAAGGGGCCATGCGACCCAATGGTACCAGTCGCACATAGTCTCACAATCGACAGGACGTTCTCATGGATACACATGTCATTCTAATAAAATATTTACAGAAGCGCTAAGAACACGAAAAGGCGTAAACGGGCACTGCCACCCAAGCAACGCTAAGCACAAAAGCCTAACAAGTTCTAGTAGTTGTACTTGTAGCACAGTGTCGTTCCAGTGGTGTCGAGGACATCCCTGACCTTGACATCAGGACGGATACCGTAGACGTTGATGTTGGTGTCGAGGGTAAGGGCCCGGCCAGATGCGTCGTTGCCGTTGATGGTGTTGACACGAGCACCGTTGGCGTTCTGCCAGATGCGGAAGTTGCGGTCGACGAAAGCGTGGTGGAGCCAGAAGATGGGGTCGGCGGGCGAACCGTACGTGTCTTGCATGACAGCGCCGATACCGTTGTGGCCCCAGGCGTGGGGGCCTCCCTCTGCGCATTGAGCCATGCCGGCGAAGTCGCCGTAGGCGTTGCATTGGTTCACGTAGTCGGAGTTGCAGTATTGGGTCTTGGCGGCATCGCCGTTGCGGGCAAGGCAATGGGGCGTGTTGCCTGAACCGGGGCCGATGTTAATGGCAAGGTTGGCGAATGCCTGTGGTGTGTTAGTTGCTGGGTTAGGTTATAGGAGGCGTGTCGGACAATGGGGTTGTACTTACGCCATTGGTTACACAGTTTCCGCCGAGGGCAATGCCTCCGAACCACTTGGCTGAGAAGATGGATGATGCCGAGAAGCGACCGGCGTACTTGGTCTCGTCGAACCAGGGCATGGTTTGGCTGAAGCCACATTCTGAACGTAGAATGTCCTCGAAGACCCAGGTATAGTATCGGTGCCAGAGGAGGAACTTGCTGTTTCCGTGGACGTTGGGTGTGAGGGTCTGGTGGAGTGCAACGAGATCCTCATACCGGCTCTTGGCTGCGGGGAACTGGCCTGAGGGAGCGCGGCCCATCAAGCACTTGATGGCATCCACGAATTGTTGCTTGCTGCTGTCGGGGTAGGAGTCCCACTCAACGCGGACGCGGGGGTTGGCGCATGTTGCAGCGGCAGCGAGTGTAGAGACGCGGAAGTTTTGGTTTTGCGCAGCAGGCTCCTCTGGCTGTGTGGCATTGTGCTCCTCGAATATCCGCTTGGCATCCGCGAGAGGAACGGGCTGAACGAACTTTGGTGTCTCGGCGAAGATGTTGAGGGGTAGGGCCTTGATCAGCTTGGTCAGGGGAAGTTCCTGAGGAGATGGAAGCGCAGAAACGCTGGCTACAACAGCCAAGGTGGCGGACAAGATTGAGGTACGCATGATTAAGGTATAAGTATTAAAAAGGTACTAAGATCCCGATTGACAGTAGCAGGAAAGCGAAGGACAACAACCTAAAAGCGAATGCGGTTGCTTGGTGTGATTGTTGAGCGAGCTGTACAAAAAGATCCCGACATGCAGGACGGCCAGTCATCCTTATACCTGGGACCTGCATCTTCCGCCTTACCGCCCGACTATCCACAGCGCGCGCGCCTCGTACTGCAGATCATTCGCAGTGCGCTTGACGAGCCGTCTCACCAGCGACACCTGATGATCGGTCATGGAAATACGAAGCACGCATGTACCGTGGGCGTGAATTCGGCCTAGGCCTGCAACGTAGTATTGGAAAGTAAGTAAGCGTGCGCGAGCTACAGCAGAGGGAACAAATGATAAGTGGGAGGCTATACTGCTTTTAAGCCGTGGCTCATCAAACGCTGGCCGGGCGCCCAGGTCAGGCCAACCTCGGGCTTGACAGTCTACACACGAGGATAATGCTGCTTGCCGTGGGCTCCTGGGCCTGAGCCGACCCCGAGTTGCGCGGAAATTGTCAGCGCGCTGACGTGAACGAACTACTGTGGAGCTTGTCGCTTTTCCTGGGCCTGCCCACGCTGCGTTCACGAGGCGGACCTGCCGGCTGCCGGAATGCAGGGCCGCCATGATTGGATGGCGCATCGTGTTTTTCTCTTCGCTTCCAGATGCCGTGCAGCCAAATATAGCTCTCAGGAACGCCCTCGGTATCTAGCAATGTCTAGTAATGCTCCGGTCAACATGGCGTCCGCCAGCGTGCCATACCTACTGTCATGCAGACTGTCACATCGCGCGCGGGTGAGTTGTCAATTGAATACGGCAGCGTCATCTCGACTGAAGGATTTGCTAGCATCGCCCTTCGCCCGTTCAGCTGAGATTAGAATGCCACAATCCATTGTGCGACGGCAAGATAGCAGCCGTTGCCGTTGCAAACAAAGTGGCTGTGATTTGAAAGGGGGATCTGCGGCCAGCATGCACTTCCTGTCGCTAAACACCCAACCCCCAGCGCCTCACATAAAGGCGCTCCACACACAGGCGGGAATAACCTCGCACAAAGCATCCCGAACAATCCACTATCGCCTTATCACGCAAACTCCCCATCGCAATCCCCTCGCGCACAGGCTTATCGGCCGTCTATTTCGAGTGGCAAGCTCCACTTCCATCGTGACGCCCCAATGCCTCGTCGTACGAGGTCCAATTCCACAGTACGAAGCAGCGTGGTGATGATGTTGGAAAGTGCGTGAGGGCGAAGGAGGAATACGGTCTACCCCGCCAGCTACTCAGCGCTAGCCAGCACGGACACGAGAAAAACAATAACACTACTGCTCGAGGGCTGAAGAAGGCTGAGCTTAGTACCTGCGAGGCGTGCGAAAAAAAAACCATCCCGTGTAAGATTCTTTTTAGCAATCGAAACGGCGAGCCCGGCGTGCCGCGATGCTTCTTCACCGCCAGACGACTCACCAGTGCAAACCCAAGCAATGCCGCAACGGGCATGTGCCACATGAGCAAAGAAGAAAAACGTTCAATCTATGTGTAGAACGCATGTTCGCGCTACTATAGGGCGTGTCTCAGCCTCATGGGACTGTTGTTCGGTTACACATAACCCACTAGAGCCTACCGCTACCAGCGTCTCTACCAGCGGCAGCGTCCCCCAACGAGGAAAGTCACACGGCTGGGTTGGAGAACACCGGTACTGGTACCGCTCGCGATGCGTGCACGTGGCAAATCGAGCATATGATGCTTTTGTGCTCTCATCAGCAATGTAACCCGCGCTACGCCTCGCAGGCATTCGTGGTCGACCCAGATGGTGTTTTGGAAACCGAGTACTCTCTGACACCTGTGGGAGAAGAATTCTGTCGCTGCGCGGTGATCAGCGGTCTCCGCGATCTAGGTCTGAGAAGCCGAGAACTGTATATGCTTCTTCGTGCAGGCTTTCCTTTTTCCGTTGCCACGCTTCGATCAGCAGTTTTGGTTGGCGCAGTGATGCTAGGTTTGGGAAGCCGAGTATATACTGCGGCGCATGCTTCTCGATATTCTTCCACATGGACCTGTTCCTGCCACGCTGAACTCCGCAGTTTCGTTATGCGATGCATTGTCTCGAACTGGAGTCGTCATCATCTATGAGGTGCGCATTGAGCCTGTAGTGGTCAATTTCATTACGTCTCACAGTCGTAAGACTCGTCGCATTCACCTAAATTGTCAAGTTACACAGCAGGCTATACATTGTTCAATTTGTCCGGACGTTGGTTTTGAAGTGCGTCAATACAAGACATGGTTTACCCGGAGGCCGAGATTGATGACATGAACCTTGCTTCTGATACTTTCGGTGACATGTCGGTTCCCTCCCTTCCGCTATGTCGACATCTGCCGCAACCCGCCGTAAGACCTAACAAGTGCATCAGCACTACGGCAATGGGAAGGGCATCTCACTCAGCCCTGGTCATGTCTTAATCAGACTACACGTCGTGTGACCCTGACCGAAAAGTCCTCCATAATCCACATCCCGGCATTGTATATCTTCGCCGCTTCGTGCGGATGTACGATCGAGAAGTCGAATCGCCTCAATAGCTCGACGAACACCTTGTTAAATTCCATCAAGGCGACGTTCTGGCCCAAACACTTGTATTTTCCGTAGTGGAAGACTAGGTCCACGGTACTGGCCATGTGCGCAAGACGTGCAGGATCTTCCGAAGCGTCCAGCCAACGTTCTGGCCTGAAGAGCTCAGCATCTGGACCGAAGATATCTGTAGAGTGCTGGATGCTGAGATAGGAAGACCCAATCTGCGTGCCTGCAGGAATGAATTTGCCGGCAAGGATATCACCGCCTGCAGGAACGCTTTTGAAGTTCGACCCACTCGCTGGAGGCAGAATGCGCAAGCCCTCTTTGATAGTAGCCTGAAGGTACGGTAGTTGTCGCGCCTCAGCATCCGTAATGGGCGAAGAAATCGTCCCAGCAGCAATGCCGTTGTCGATCTCCGCTTGCAGTCTTCTATAAGAAGACGCATTGGCCAGCGTATGCAGCATCACAGCGCGAATTGTAGACGCCGAAGTATCGCTACCAGCGATAATCTGCAAGAGCGCCTCGCTCGATGCTTCTTCTGGTGTGAGACCATGGCGAATAAAAGATCCGAGCATATCGGACTTTGGCTTGGAATCCTTGGATGCAAATCTTTCCGCAACCGCCTTCCTTGCAACGTTGATGAAGGCCCCGAAGCCGAGCTTGTCGCTCTCTTTGGGAAGCACGCCTCTCAACAGGCGCGAATGTAACAGATTCGCCAGCCAAGGTACGTACGAAAGCGCCATCATAACGGGGACGTATGTCGTGGTGATCTTGATGTAATCATGGAGATCGACGTCTTGCTTTAGATACCCCATCGGTTTCCCGAATGCCAGTGCGCTGATGACGTCCAGGGTGAAGTATTGCGTTTTGAGCGCTAAATCCATAGGTCGGTATTCAGTCGCGGTCGAGATATACTTCGTCTCGATCAAATCGATGAAAGCGGCTACCTGTTCATCAACAGTGCCTTCCATAGATTCATTCTCCTTCCCGGAATAGCCAGGAGCCATCTTATTCCTCAACTTCAAATGCGCCGTCTCGTCGCGCATCGAAAAGAGATTGTCGCGTCCAGGCTCCAGCTTCATTGCATCGTACCATGGCCCTCGTGTGTATTCAGACCGCACTGCCGTTGTTCTGCGCACAATGTCTGGGTCGCTGGTGACCAGGTCAGTCGGACTGACGCGTACCAGCGGGCCATATTTATCCGTGAGTTCTTTCGTCGCGCGTGGAAGTTGTCCTTTGAGGGATTTCGATATGATCCAGTAGGTGGAGATTGATGCCCAAAAGGGTCCGGGGATGTGCGATAGACGGTACCATTGCAGTGCGACGCGGGTTAGGTATGTAAGTAGTAGTGCGGTTGGTACGCCAATCGCGACGAGGCTGTTGTAATTGCTCAGCGTGGGGCTGGCCCCGCCATCGTCAACGCTACCCGCCATTCTACAACAAGATATACTGAAGGAGGAGGGATACTGCGCGATGCGCATCTCGTCTTGCGACGCATCATATATGTCTTGCCCATTGCACTGCTGGGCGTAAGCATGTTTTGTCGTGCATTATCGCACGACAGGCATCTCTCGCTGCTTGAGTCCCTTCCCGTACTAGCCTGCAGACGGGCACATCGCACAAGATTTAAACTCAACCGCTCAGCGCGGACATGCCAGCCAGAAATCTTTCGTTGCTATTCAGTAGTTCTGTTGAAGAATAGGGTGAGGTCTACATCTCCTCAATTACTCAGAATCTTGTGCAGAAGCACGCGCGTGTTTGCCAGTGGTGATGGAAGGCATGAGTTGTAATCATTGCATATTGACACACATAAAATCTATCTCAAAGCAGTACCCCGCATGACACCGATTTCAATCCCCTGCTCCTTAATATCGACCGCGTCATCGTGCGTGAGGTCAAAGTTATCAATCGCCAACGTTGCGCATTTGAATGCTCTGAATGATGTTGCCAACGCCTCTGAACTCAAAAACACAGCACCCCATCATGAAATCGTCAACACACAAAAAAGGAGAAACCTCGACGCCACACCTACTTGTACACTGTTTCGCAAAACAATACACTCTTCCATACCGTACTGACCCAAGAACCAATGTAGATCTTGCACTCATCACTTCTGTCGCACGTCGTTCGAATCAGGCAACTCCTGAGCTACCGGAGCCGTGTACATCTCCTGAGTACCCGAATAGAACTCATTGTTCTTTTTCTCTGGCTGACCATATTGAGCTGGCATCGGTGACAGCGCCGACATTGGTGACATTGGCGAGCCATAGGCGTGTTGTTGCGGCGTGGGAAGACCATCATCTGGGACGACTTTACGGTTGCGTTTGCGTCGGAAACATAGGAAGAGGACAGTAGCGAGGATAGCTATACCGCCAAGTGCAGCACCGATGCCTATACCTGCTTTGGCAGCCGTCGACAGTCCTTGATCAGACCGTGTCCTACTCCCTGATGTGCTCACGTCGGTGTCGTTAGGTGTGTTCGGCTTCACACTCTCAACGACACTCCAGTGTCCCGCCCAGCTCTGGTTGAAGTAGTTCGTCTTCTCGCTATCCCAGTAGTCTAGACTGGTTGCTCCGTCGGCAATGTCTGTGAGCTGATCACCTAGGCCCTGACCATTGAAGCCTGGTCCTGGGGCTTGACCCAGCCATGTGATCTGCGAAGCCCAGTTGCGACCAACGTACGCTGCTTGGAGGAACGCACGGCCTAGTCTATAGCGGTCATCCTCGTTTGTAGGCGTGTAAGAGTGGCAGGGAAAGTAGGGTGTTGGCTTTTCGACGATAGGGGTGTCGAGCGTGAGATTCAGTAGAGCGAAGGGGACTTTTATCGTGACGTTGAGGCTAGCTCCAGAGCCAGGGGGGAAGGTAAAACTGAGGTATGCGGGAGAGGTGACGATCTTGGCGTAGTTTGGGTCATCCGTCTTCCAGAGAAAGTATTTGGTCGTTGGATCGTACTTGATCGGAAGTACTTTGGCAAGGCCTTCGCATGTGTTGTCCGGTAGTGAGAGGTACGGATTACGAGGGTCGATGATGACTTGTTGGGCCTTGCCTGTCTCGCCAGTGTCGGCGACGAGCAGATTACTGATGCTGTCCACTTCGAAGGGTGATTCGCCAAACTCAACCCCGATTCCAATGTCAAGGAGGTCGACTTTATCCTGGTCTCGAAAGGACGTTGGAGGACCTATAACGCGACCTTTGTTGTAGCCACCGAAGACCAGCGAGCCAGGGTAGTCAAATGCAGCCGATCCGATATGTAGCAGGTACGAATATGAACCGATGATGCCATCCTCATATAGCTTGCCGTTATAAACGTTGAGTGATACGTCGTACCCCGCAACAGTGTCGCTCTCCGAGAAGGTCTGCACTTGCTCTCCGCCCCCAAGACCCAAGTAGCCGAGCCTCATCCCTGACAGCTTACCATCAAAAGCCGTGATGTTTCCTGAATTCGTATGCATGATTGAGGCGTTCCATACTGTTGTGCCTCGGATCGTCAAGGCTCGATCAGTGTAGTTCGCGGGGCCCGCAATTAGACCGAAAGATGGAATCTGGACAGTAGGGTGCCACCCACCCAGTGGGAGGAAACTTGTTGCACCAGCATCTGGCTCCCATGTGCCTCCCTCACCACAGGTACTATCAGGGAAAGGATCGCAAGCCGATTGGCTGAAGATGAAACTCTCGAACGATCCTCCCGGGTAGACGTCGACGTCGGCGTGGTTCTGACCTCCTATTTTCAGATTGGTGTCGTTGCCTCCGACCGTAATTCGCACAGCTTGCCATGGCCCATCGGGCCCATACTTCTTGTCACTCCATGGCACATCGAGGTGGCTCTGCGCAGTCGAGCGAACTATGAAGAAGACCAGGAAATTGACGCCTATTTGGAGGAAAGATCGTGAAGACATCGGACAGCGTGTGACTATGGTATGATGAACAGTGTGATAAGTCGTAACAAGATATCTTACGACCAGTCATGGCCTGCTATACATAGTCAGTGCGAGCCGGTGTGTAGAAGTGACCCCACCCGTCGGTGACACGAGCCTTCCGATCCATGTAGGTTGGAACGGATAACAACCTACATGGCGTTTCGAATGAAGTCACGGGCGGGGCCCGAAGTTTGCACGATTGGTCGAAGATGCTGTTCTCGGTGCATACATCGGTCCTGAAGTACTTTAACAATAGCATTGTGCATCGCACAGGATGTACTCCGCCGACAATGTAACCTTTTTGTTGTCGTCATGCGGTCATTTCCCGACAGCATGTAGTCAGCCTTCGTCTTGGGGTGTGCCTTGCTGCAAGCAATCTCGCCCGCAGTGTCTTCTCGAGGGACGGAGAAGTTGCCACGACCTACATTTGCAAGCATCCAGCGACGCTCCATGCCACGCACTCTCAATTCTTGTGTTTACTTCTCAACGCTCAAGGATCGTCTGTACATTAGACATGTCGTCGAACTCTTCTGCTCTGCCCTCCTTTTCATGCCATGGTCGAGGGTCGCATATACCGCTCTCCGTACGTTTCCAATATGCACTTTCGGCACGCAAGCTGCGTGTTCTTTTCATGGTTGCAGCCTTTCTGCTGCTCGCGGGTGTCTTAGTAAGGTATGATGAGCATGTTGCTCGACTTCCAAACCAATTCCGACAGTTCACCAAGCACAACCCTCCTTTCGCAATAGACTCATCGTCAGCCCCAATTCCAGTCACAGACGCTAGCATTATCTGGTCAGATTTTGCATACGTACAATATGTAACAAACTCGAACTACCTCTGCAACTCTCTCATGATCTTTGAGGCGCTCAGACGACATGGGACGAGAGCCGATCTTCTCATGTTGTATCCACAGAAGTGGAAGGTGCCCAAAGACATACTCGATGACGACGCACCTCCAACCGACTATGAAGGCACGCTGCTGGCTCAAGCTCGGGACCAGTATCACGCAAAGCTGAACCCCATCCAAGTAAGGACGTATGTCAATGAGAAGGATGCGACGTGGCAAGACAGCTACACAAAACTGTTAGCATGGAATCAGACTCAGTACAAGCGCGTGATTTCTTTAGACTCGGACGCGACGCTTTTGAATGTACGTGCCTATCTCCGTCGACAAGCGAAGCTATCGCTTGCTACAATGACCAGTGTTGACAATCAGTAGCATATGGACGAGCTTTTCCTCCTTCCCACGGCTCCAGTGGCCATGCCTCGCGCATACTGGCTTGAACAATTCTTCCTATCGTCCCAACTCATAGTTATCGAGCCATCGGAGGATAGCTGGCAGCGGGTGCAAAGCGCAATGGAACACCACGAGGGCCACGACTACGATATGGATATCTTGAACAAGGTGTTCGGTGCCTCGACTTCAGTGATACCGCATCGTAGATACGATCTTTTGACTGGTGAATTTCGCCACCAGATTGATCAGCATGAGGCCTACCTCGGCTCGCCGACAGAAAGATGGAACGGACGGGATGCGGTGAAAGAAGCCAAGTTCGTCCACTTTTCAGACTGGCCGCTGCCAAAACCGTGGTTGAACGCGACAGAGGACCAGGTCGCTAGACAACAACCGTCATGCAGATCGTTATCAGAAGGCGAGTCGGATTGTACAGACCGAGACGTGTGGTTGGAGCTTCGCAGAGACTTCTCGGAGCGACGTCTGGTATGCCATATTCTGTCTTCTCCAACGTGCGGTACTGACAGCTCGCAGCGGGTGTGTGGAAAGGCTTATGACAACATCTAGTCGCCATGTGAGATGCGCGACGCATCGTGCGTATGACATCATGTGTCGGGAAAGTGGTTGATGTTGTTGGTTTCCACCTCGTAGTTCGTGGAGCGAGTTGAGATGTCGTGAAGGACGTCTACCTAGTTGTCGTGCCAGCAGCCCGGCGCTCTATCGTTGCGCAATTTATCGACTCAGTTGGATCGATCAACGTATGTCAAGCCCAGTCCTCATATTGCAAATCGTCGTATGATGCATGGCGGAGTGGTGTTGTCGATGGCGCAGCGGACGCGGTGATATAGCGGAACAGCGGAGAAGGAGCCGTGAGCCCACCCAAGCAGCTAACGATAGCTCCCTGCGAGCTTGGTCAGCCGGACTGCATGTGATTAGTATATGCGTCATATGCCAATGTTGGTACCTATAAATGCTGTGGTACCACAATGTCACGATACGTGCGAAATCTCCAAAGATTGAATCTATACACACATAGCCGCAAAAACATGTCGCATCTTCAGTACTACGCATATCCCGGCAAGGGCGAGTCGGCCAGAGAGAACACCAGATACAGCCAGTCTGTTCGTATCGGTGACCGCATTGAGTGTGCAGGCCAAGGTAATTCATACCCATGGCTTCCTTGACCTCCACAAACTGATGACTGCGACTATAGGTGGATGGGATCCCATGACCAGACTCATACCCGCAGACATTGACGCTCAGATCGACCAAGCTTTCCAGAATGTGGAACTCGCTCTGAAGACCGCTGGTGGGAAGGGCTGGTCGCAGGTGTTCCGCGTAAACTCTTACCACATCCCTATGGACAATGAGGCCCTGGGTGCTATGGTGCGGAATTTCAAGAAATGGATGCCGGATCATCAGCCTATCTGGACGTGTGTTGGCGTTGTCAAACTAGGCGAGGATGCTATGAGGGTAGAGATTGAGGTGTCGGCTCATGATCCCAAATAGAGGATGGTGGTAGAAGATTCGATGAGAGAATGTTGGACGCGTTCCTCAGAGAGCCGTCGATGGATTCAAAAGGACGACGTTCGTAGCCTACGTGTATGTGCAAGTCATTATCTTGTGCGAGCATCGGACTGGCGCAGAAAGCCCAAGTCGCATTGCGATTAGTTTGCATCGATGCGAGATGATGTGGGTAGTGATGCGTGATGTGGAAGGTGCGGACTCTGGGATGGAACACGTGAAAGGGCGATGAGGCTTGCCAAGACCATCGGCGCAACTATCGCCGACGGGATTCTTCCAGTTCTAGCTCTTGCGACGCGCTCCGTACTCCACGCGCAACTTCGCTACCAACTCCATCAATCCCAATATCCCATTTCTGCGCCCAGACGAACACCTTGTACACGATGCCGAAGTTCTTCTGCGACTACTGCGATGTCTACCTCACCCACGACAGTATGAGCGTGCGGAAGGCGCACAACAACGGCCGCAATCACCTCCGCAACGTCCAGGCCTACTACGAGCAGATATCGAGCGACCAAACACAGCAAGTCATCAATAGTATTACCGACGCATACAACACAGAAGGCCAAGCCAACCCGCTGTTCCAACAGAACCTGGCTGGAGGCTTCCCTGGAGGACCTATGGGCGGGATGCCTCCAATGGGAATGCCACCGATGGGTATGCCTGGGTTCCCGCCGCCAGGAATGCCGCCCATGGGTGGAATGCCTCCAAATTTCATGGGCCGCGGAGGTCGTAAGTTGCCGCATAATCACCACACATGATCCTATACTGACAGCGCGACAGCTCCGATGCCACCCAACGGAATGCCACCCTTCCCTCCGCCAAACGGTATGCCCCCGGGCCCTGGCGGTATGCCGCCCTTCCCACCCCCGCACATGGGAGGCGGTCCACCCCAAGGAATGCCGCCTTTCCCATTCCCACCACCAGGACAGGCAGGCTCACCCCCTGGAGGAATGCCTTATCCACCCCCAGGCGGTATGGGAATGCCCCCTGGCGGACCTCCTGGCAGATACCCTCCTGGACCACCGGGACGTTAGGAGCGACCTGGTGCACATGGAGGAATGATACCTGCCTTTGGTCACGACAACTACGCAGCTGAGGCCCTTGAGGCGGGAATGAAGAGGAAGAGGCAGAACGATGAAGATATACCCGGAATTTCCATGAGGGGTGGTGGACGAGAAGGAGGTGGAGCAGCTACAGGCGCGAACGCCATAGTCCCGACACGGATCAAGAGGGTATAGCGCAGGCTGCGACCATACGCTAGGGGAAGCGAGAGCAAGACGGCTGTGAAGGCACTTGGGAACAAGTACGTCCCATCCCCAGGCTGTCGCGATGCTTTCGGCTCACGCTCATGTAGTATTACTTGTCAAAGAGTTCATCAGTAATTATACGTAATGCGGTTTACGAAATCTATATCGAAACTCACAACACGCTCGTTACTTTCAGTTACAGACAACCTTCTATCTACTGAACAGACTTCTAGCAAACGTTTCAACATCCATCATGTCCATGCTCAGCGCCTTATTCACCGTCCTGTCCATTTCCCACCACACGCCATCTCTGGCAAATACCAGTCTGTACTTATTGATACCATCTTCTGGCGCCAAGTCAAGCTCCTTCTTCAAATGCTCAACACTCCATGCCTCCTGCTCAACCTGCTTTCCGCTCACGCCCTTGACAATATCAGCCAGCTGCCCGTAACTAATCGTATCACCCGCAATATACAGTACACGGTCCCCGGCTTCCACGTCCCCCGATATAATTCTCGCCAACACCCGTCCAATATCATTCACATCCGTCACAGTCACCTTGTGATCCCAGTCTCTCAAACACCTCACCACCACTTTCCCTTCCGCCTCTTTACTCCTATCTACGATTCCCCAGAACTGCTCGAAAAGAAAAGACATGAAAATCCCCGTACTAACAACCGTCCACTTGACATTACTCTGCTCAGCTTTCCGCCGCAACAAATTCCTCACGTCGCGCTGAGCACCGAACAACGGCATCAACCCCTCTCCATCACCAATGACATCGTAATCGACACCCCACTGCCAGGGAAAGAACCATAGTTCCCCTTTTCCCTGCTCTTTTCTGATCTTACCGGCCAACAGGGCTTCCTCGCCGAGTTTGAGGACGCTGCTGGGGTCGGCGCCGAAGCCTGTGGCGGAGATGAGGATATTGTATGCTGAGAATATTTGTGAGAGGCCGGGAGAAGGGGAGGAGAGGTCGATGGCGGCGAGGGAGATGTTGGAGGAATGGAGGTGAGTGTACTTTGGGGGTGAGCGGATGCCGATGGTGATGTGGGTGCTGGGGAGGGCGGAGAGGTGAGGGAGGAAGGCTGTGCCTAGTTCGCCAGCACCGAGGAGGAGGATGGTGGTTTGGGGGGAGGTCATTTGTGAGAATGTTTGACAGTGTGGTGTTTGTGTAGTATGAGATGGATGTTATCTTGTTGGAAGCAAGTGAAGGGTTTCACGTCAGGTGAGTATAAGTCATCACACGAGATTGAGATCAGGATCAGGTCATCATCTATCACATGCGAGGTATGCTGTCCTATGCTTTTGTACATGCTTCTATGGTGGGGTAGTAGCGCGGAGATAAGATATCAGAGACCGGAGTTAGTCGGCTTTGGATAGAAGTCGTGAAGTCAAGGAAGGAACGAGTAGAGACGGTGCGTCCAGTTTTAATCATGCACTGATGCAATTCTCCAGAAAACAAATCAACGTCAATGCTTACATGAAAAAGGCGATACTATGGCACGTATTGTACAGGTGAGATACGCGCAAGCAAGTTGACCCCTCCATGCCTGACTTTGAGGTGAGTTGCTGAGAATGAGATATCGCGTGGACTGACGTCGTAGGCTGAACTGCTATTAATTAGGGCTGTATCACCCACTACGGGCAGTTTATTAGTGGCTTGACAGTGTCATGTCCAGGTGAGGTCAAATGTCGAGTAAGGGCTCCAGGGCTCCTGTGCTCACGGACCACGCTAAGCCCAAATGACGCTAGTGGTTCGCCTATCAACCTTGGAATTTTGAAGCCTCCAGCCTTTGTGCGCAGTGCTCTTCGACGAACAACTATTAACACCCGAGTGCGCCTACGTCCATCCCAAGCAGAAGCCACTCATCGCAATCATGGCCGAGCAACTCGTACTCCGTGGCACCCTCGAGGGCCACTCCGGCTGGGTCACCTCCCTTGCTACATCTCTGGAGAAGTGCGTATACGCGGGAAGAGGAAAATGCACGAATGCGCAATACTGACACGCGATTAGCCCCAACATGCTCCTGTCCGGATCGCGCGACAAGACTCTGATCATCTGGAACCTGACCCGCGACGAGACCTCGTACGGTTACCCCAAGAGGAGTCTGCACGGTCACTCCCACATTGTCTCCGACTGTGTACGTTCACCACAAAATTGGGCAATTGGCTAGCTAGGAAGCGACGACGGCTGAGCTGACAATTGCTGCACAGGTCATCTCCTCTGACGGCGCCTACGCTCTTTCCTCATCGTGGGACAAGACCCTCCGCCTCTGGGAGCTCTCCACCGGTGTCACCACCCGCCGCTTCGTCGGCCACACTAACGACGTTCTCTCCGTCTCCTTCTCCGCCGACAACCGCCAGATCGTCTCCGGATCGCGCGACCGAACCATCAAGCTCTGGAACACCCTCGGTGACTGCAAGTACACCATCACCGACAAGGGCCACACCGAGTGGGTCTCGTGCGTCCGCTTCTCCCCCAACCCCCAGAACCCCGTCATCGTCTCTGCTGGTTGGGACAAGCTCGTCAAGGTGCGTACATCCGCGTTTACACCAATTCCTCCGTTTCCTTGTTTATATGATGAATATCTATGTATTTGCTACTTCAGAGCTTCGGCTATGAGACAATTATCACCTAGTACTGATTTACGCTCCTCACTCGATCTGCTTCAAGCCACTTCAAATTCGGGAAGCTGACAACAATCAGGTCTGGGAACTCGCTTCCTGCCGCATCCAGACCGACCACATCGGTCACACCGGTTACATCAACACCGTCACCATCTCGCCCGATGGCTCCCTCTGCGCCTCCGGTGGTAAGGACGGAACCACCATGCTGTGGGACCTGAACGAGTCCAAGCACCTCTACTCTCTCTCCGCCGGTGACGAGATCCACGCCCTTGTCTTCTCTCCCAACCGCTACTGGCTGTGCGCTGCCACCGCCTCCAGCATCATCATCTTCGACCTTGAGAAGAAGTCCAAGGTTGACGAGCTCAAGCCTGAGTACATGGAGGTTGGCAAGAAGAGCCGGGAGCCCGAGTGTGTCTCCTTGGCCTGGAGCGCCGACGGCCAGACCCTGTTCGCCGGATACACCGACAACCGTATCCGCTGCTGGGGTGTCATGGCGAGGGGATAAGGTAGTGCATGTTGGGTAGTGCAACGGGGCGTAACGGGAAAATCACGATTCCACATCTTCTGTAGCATGCCATGGGTTATGATTGATGCTCATGCGGGATGGGTTTGGGACTCTTCCGGCATTACCACGTCCAGGCGCTTAGAGTCAATGAAAATTCTCAAGTCCAAAAGTGGTTGCTTACCATGCGTGGTGGTTTATGTTTTCGTATGTGGGCTATGGGATGTTAAGGATGCTCACTGAGACGTCCTCCGCGACAAACGAAGTGTCTCGCTGCTCGGATATGGTATGGGATAAAAATCTTTCATATGATAATCGCATCCCAGGATCTTTCCAAAACACATGCAATGGCCTTTCTACAGCTTGCTGAACTTGGGAGATGTCTTCTTCAGCCCACTCATCATAGCATCCTTGACATCCGCCGTCTGCAACATAGCCGCATTCCACACAGCCGTGTAGTTCAAGCCCTCACTAATCGGCCTATCCCTGGAGTAATTGATAATCTCCTTCGTCCCCAGCACCGCCACCGGCGACTTGGACGCAATCAGCGTCGCCAACTTGGTCGCTTCAGTAACCGCCTCCTGCTTATCCTTGTACACCTT